TCATACAAACATAATATATCCCACTTCATTGACATTCATATTATCTATTAATTTAACAGAATCCTCAGATTCTGCCTTTATTAAATAAAGCATCTTACTTCCATAAGCCAGGCTTGGTGGCACACACCTTTGATCCCAGTCCTTCAGATATAGACGCAGGCAAATCTGAGTTCAATGCCAGCCTGATCTACATACAGACTTTCAGGATAGCCAAGACTACATAGAGGGACCCTGTCTAATCCCAATATTCAGGAAGCAAAGGCAGGCAAATCAATGAGTTTGAGGCCAACCTGGTTTACATAGTTAAGACTGTCTCAAATTAAAGACAAAACAAAGAGCCAAAGGGCTAGAGGGATGGCTCAGCTTCTAAGAGAACTGGCTGTTCTTCCAAAGAACCCAGGTCTGAATCCCTGCACATGGTGGTTCACAAACCATCTGTAACTTCAGTCCTTTCTATGGGGATTGCATCCATCTGGTGCACGACATAAGCGACAAAACATAAATTAGAAAAAATTACAAATCATTGTCCATGTATTTTCCCTGTGGCAAATTTTCTGTAATAAACTGTCTCTTTGAGGCCTTTTTTTTTTTCCTGGCATGACTGGATTTTTCTTTCTTAAAAAGTTCCTATAAAGCTGGAGGTAGTGGCACACATCTTTAATTTCAGCAGGGGCAGGTGGATCTCTGTGAGTTAAGGCCAGCCTGGTCTACAGAGCCAGTTCCAGGACAGCAGGAGCTACAGAGGGAAACACTGTCTTGAGGAAAAACAAACATTCCTAGGGGAGGCCTTATCCTCTCCAAGGAGCAGATGAGAGTCGGGCAGGCTGGTGCGGGAAGGAAAGGAGAGGCTGGAGGGGGAATTGGGATTGGAATGTAAAAAATAAAAATACTTTAAAGCAAACAAGAGTTCATATGTACAAGATTTACCTATCACCATTATCGGCACTCAGGGTATGTCCTTTCCTCTTCCTTGGAGTAAAAGTTGCCATCATCTTAACTGAATTCCTAAAAGCAATAAACAGGTCAGTAGTAATAATCAAAGTCATCAAGTGGATAGAAAATGCACTGTCAAAATTGTATTTAAAAAATCTGAATTCTAGTGGGGCAATGGTGGCACATGTCTTTAATCCCAGCAATTAGGAGGCAGAGGCAGGAGGATCAAGGCCAGTGTGGTCACCTGGGAGTTCCAGGACAGCAGGGGCTACAACAGGGAAATGTTTTCTGGGATGGGGAGGGGATCTAAATCCCAAATAAATACCCAAGGAAATAGTGCCTCATGTATTGGAGGCTGGCCTCAAATTCAAACGCATTCACTCTGTTGCCAAGGAAGAACTTGGAGAAATTTGAGTCTTCCAGGGCTGGGATCATAGGCTGAGCCAGCATGCCTGTCTCCAAATAACAGATTTTTATTTTTTTTTTTTAAGTAGACTAGTCAGGTGTGAGGGTGCTAATGTGAGGAAGAGGCAAAGGATCCTGAATTTGGGGCCAGCCTGGGTCACAGGGATCGCAGCAAAAAGTGAAAAAGCAGTTAGTTATTAGAATAGAGACTTAAACAGTGACCGAGGGAGAGGAGGGTGGGTTGGGGAAATACTGCACACACCTATGTATTTAGAGCAGAAAGGTGGGTGAGCCTACTAACAAGCCCAGGTGGGCTACAATTAGAGGCACACTTTCCTTTAATTAAAGGAATCACACCAAGTTTTAGCACTCCTGGTAGGCCTTCCTTGGCACTGCCCCTCCTTCCACAATGCCCAGCTCTTGTGCCCAGCTTCCCTCGCCCCCTATGCCTCCTCCACATTCCACTTAGCATGCATTCTGGCTAATCATCTCCAAAGCCCGCACCTTCAGTGAATGCAAGCCTGTGCGGACCCTTCCTGGAATCTGAGTAAGGGAACGTGGGGACGACAGTCGCCTCCACAGGTCCCACCTGGGCTCCCTCTCAGGAGCTTCCTCATTTACAAACAACCCGGACCTCGTCAGGCAGCTGCTAAGGACATACAGCAGGCGAGCCTCTTCCCATAGGGAGATAAGTCTAGAATGTTCTTTCCCCTTCCTTCGGATCGGGTATGTCAGTCCCACAGAATTCCACGAGCGCGACCCGTAAGCTGAACGGAAAGTCTGCGGGGCTCAGGGACGACCCATGCCCGCTGCGTCAGAAGCTGGCGCCCGGAGCAGGCGCCCCCAGTGAGGAGCAGACGGCGTACGCCCACAGCCACGTCCCCTGCCCCGTGACTTTACCTGCGCCCCTCAGGCTCCCGCTGGCTCCGCGTCCACTCGTGCTGAGAACTCTCCGCACCTCCGGGAACCCACAACCTTCCTCACAGGAGCGCGGCGCTCCGCCAGAGCGTTCAAATTCACGCGCGCCACTTGAGACCAACGCTGCGGCATTCTGATTCGTCGCTGCGCAGGGCTTCCCAGACCCTGGATCCTGATTGGTTTCTCGCTAGTCTTGCTCCGCCCTCTGGGGTGGTAGCTTCCAAGATTCTCCCGCCCTTGTGCGGCAAAGTGGACTGGGTTCAATGAAGCCACGCCTCCTTAAAAAAAAAATCTGGCAACAACCTCCGGTTCCAGGTCACAGGCCTGTGAAAGTGCATTATGGGAGTCGTAGTTTATGGCTCCGCCATCGGAAGTAAAATTCTGAGGTAGTTTGTTGTAAGCAGTTTATGTGATATATCCAAGATACTGGGGGCTCTTATTTTTCATATTTGAAGTCTGATTATTGGTTTTGCTTTTTCAAAAAAAACATTATTTTAGGTTTCCATTTCACTATTTTATTCTTCAAATTATGGCATGAACATTCACTAAATTCTAAGTGTTAAATTTCTTTACATATTTTAAAATAATTTATTTTTAATTATTCTCTTGACTGTGCGTGGGTATGTGCGTATAAATGCAGGTGCCAGCAGAGGCCAGAGGAGTTGGATTCCCTGGATTGAGTTTTAGACGGTTGTAGGTCACCAAATGTGGGCACTGGGAATTGAACTCAGGTACCCTTCAAGAGTAGTATGTGTTCTGAGTAGCTAAGCCCCAAAATATCTCCAGCTTGATGTGCTATTTATGCGGAAGGCTGTGTCACTCCACCCAGAACTACTTTGTCCTTAGCAAGTTGAAATGTTTCTAAATCACTCACAGGTTTTAACGGAGTCATTAGCTTCTAGCAGTCTTGAAGACATATTTAGTTTAGATAAGTGTAAGTGATGCCATTCTTCATGGAACAAAATTGGCTGGAATGAAGTGACAGATGAGTAGCAATTTAGCTATTTACACGATTTGTGAATAGGTCAACTTCTGTCTTAGAAGATAGAACGAAAGTTCCCTTTGGGTAATGGTAGAACAGTGTGTTTCATTGAGGGAGATATCTTTGAGCCTGGGGCCTCACTACCCCAAATTCACCTACAACTTAAAATCAGGCTCTATTTCCGGAGTGCTAGAATCCTGGTTCTAACAGGGTCCCAGACCTTAGCACAAATGATTCCATGATGGGAATGCCATTTAGGCTGTAAAACTCACCCCATAGACAGTACCACAAGCCAAAATGAAAACAAAGAACTAATTCATCAGAATCCATAGTTCTGGGAAAGTCTCTAAATGTACTAACTTTGCTATTTGGCTTCTGTAGTTTGGCTTCTGTCTAAAGTGTTCTTGTATGTCAATCCAGGCCATGGTTTTCGTGCTTAAAATCTCCCCCTGAGAAAAGCTCAGGGCTCCACTGAGATTCTGAACACCTAGTGTGGTCGCCCACCAGCAAATAAAGACTTTCTTTTGGCTTAATCCCATGTCTGAACAGTCTTCTCTGGTGGCTACTCCAGAACCCTGACCAGTGCCATGAGACCCAGGATAATGGTGGGTTTTGTAAAATAAAAGAACCAGAATAGGGGGAACCAGTTAATATCAGGCAATGGCTAGTTACGTTTTTGAAAGAGTTAAGGCCAGGGAACTTTTTTTTTATCATGCAGATTCTACTAGACTGGGAATTTCCTGTTTTTAGGGAACACCAGGCTCTCTAGGGATCCTAAAACTTCAATTACTGTGACTTTTAGCCTGAGTAACTCTACTTTTGTTTGGTCTGATTTGTTGGAGGGATTCAGTTTGAAACAGAGTCTCATAAATTTTGCTTTCAGAAATGAGAAAAATTACCACCAGGCGTTGGTGGCACACGCCTCTAATCCCAGCATTTGGGAAGCAGAGGCAGGTGGATCTCTGTGAGTTCGGAGGCCAGCCTGGTCTACAGAGTGAGTTCCAGGACAGTTTCACAGAGAAACTCAGTCTCGGAAAAAAAAAATTAGTAAGTCAAACCTAGGTGCCGTGGAGCATTTTGTAAATTTATAGCAAGCAGTTTTGAAGTTCAGAGATCTGGGATCTGTCCAATATTGTAGGTAATAAAGGCAGACGTTAGATTTAAAGGAGCATTAGTCTGAGTTCAAGCCCCCATATGCACACTGCCTCCCGAGAATATCAGTAACAATTCATTTGAGTACCTTGATGCACAGCGATTTATTTAATTGTCACAGGGCAAGACAGTGAAAGGTTCTTCCTCCATCTTTCGTTCTTGCTGTGGCCATTTCAGGTTTAACCAGAATTTGATGGTGAATCCCATGGAAAATTAACCAAATCTATTCTGACTGGTCAAGCCCAAGCCCAAACCAGCACAACAACTCAACAAAATCTCACCTGTGTCAAGAAGTGCAGGAATGAGTTCATTTAAAATTGAATCGGCTCCTGAGTGCCTCCTGCTGTAACGGGCACAGGGATATTTAACTCTGAAAAAGACAGTTCCTGCATTCATGGAGCCCATGCTGGGTTGAGGGGGAAGACAGATTTAAAAAAAAAAAAACAGCAAGTTTTCCTTTATGGCTTCAAACAAGATGCAGTTTCCCGCTAATTTCCTTCAGTCAGCCGCTAGGGCACAATCCCCAGTCACTAGGACACCCGCCCTCCCGCCAACACGCTTCCCTTCGCCAGGACTAAAGATGGCGCCGACAGGACGGCGTTGTGACGCGACCGCACGTCCGCCGGAAGTGTCTGCAGGAGAGCCTGGGAGCCGGCTCGCCCTCGCGCCGGTGGGATCCTGAGCTTGGCTATTTGAGCGGGAGGTGCTACTCGTCTACCAGAATCATGGTGTTCTATTTCACCAGCACTAGTGGTGAGTGACGCCCGGGGTCCTGCTCGCAACTGCCTCCAAAACCAGGATCCCCAGCCGCCGCTGGGCTTGGACCTGGTCTGAAGCGCATCCTCCCGTGGGCGCCGCTCCCATCGCCTTCTGGGTTCTTGCGCGGCGGTCCCCTCGGTTGCCTAGTGGTCCCCTGGTTCAGGGTCTGGTGGGCAGCGTGGGAATGCGCCCCGGCTTTCCGTACACGCGGGACTCATTCTCATCCTCACCTGACAGACCCGCCATCGCTTCCTGGGCTTGGGCAGTGTGTGCCCCTGCACACCCTCCCCGTCTCAAGCCTTTGCCATAGCATTCTGGCAGCCGCCTGGAGGATCGAGGTCGTCGGAAGACACAGGTGCCAACAGCTGTGTCCAACAGGAAGAGTACCTTGCCCTTCTAAGAAGGGAGGGGCTGGGGTGCAATAGGACTAGAACGCCAGTACAACCTCTTACTGGGCAGAGCCAGTTGACGTGTGGTAACACTACTGAGCTGGGTTTGGAAGGCCAGAAAGTGGTGTTTTCGTTTCCAGGAAACGCTGTGCCTATGTTGTTCTTTTTGTCCACAATCAATCTCTAACTCTCACCCTGTTGGAACAGCTCTGACTTTTCTAAGACGCCCTTTGAGACCTAGTTTGCATGCCATGAGTAGGTAGGTATACTTTACTGTCCTCCCTCAACATTCCGTTGGCACTGCTCTTCTCACGGGCATTGAGAGGCGGTCTGTCTTGTAGTGTAGTGCCTTGCTTTCTCTCTCTCTCTCTCTCTCTCTCTCTCTCTCTCTCTCTCTCTCTCTCTCTCTCTCTCTCTCTCTTTCTGTGTGTGTGTGTGTGTGTGTTTCCCCTTCTTGAGACAGTGAGTGGCCCAGACTAGCTTCAATCAGGGACCCTCCTGCCTCAGGGCTCCCTCATGTAGGCATTCCTCTCTAGGTCCCCCAATGTGGAGTGATTCTCTTTGTTGGCGTTTCATGGTAGTTCTTTGTTTATTCTTATTTATTTATTTTGTTGGTTTTTCGAGACAGGGTTTCTCTGTTGCTTTGGAGACTGTCCTGGAACTCGCTTGGTAGTCCAGGCTGGTCTCGAACTCACAGAGATCCGCCTGCCTCTGCCTCCCGAGTACTGGGATTAAAGGCGTGTGCCACCAACGCCCGGCCTTTGTTTATTTTTAAGACAGGATCTAATTATGTAGCTCTTGCTGGCCTAGAACTCACCATGTAGGTCAGCCTGGCCTTGAAGTCACAGAGCTCTGCCACTATCTGCTCTGCTTCCCCAGTGCTGGGATTAAAGGCATAAGCTAACTAACATTTCGTGATACTTCTAGTTGAAGCATTATTTTGTGACAGGTCTCTCAGTGGTGAGGTTTTGTTGTTTATTTGTAGTCATGCTATTTCTAAAAATTACGTGCCTGTAGGTGTTTTACCCAAGTGTACATTACACACCACTTGTGTGCCTGGTACTGTTCAGGTCAGAAGAGGCTGGTGGATCCCTGAAACTTGAGTTACAGACAGTTGAGGTAGAGTCTAGTATTCTAAAAGTCCCGAGTTTGATCTCTAGTACCACATAAACCGAGTGTGTGGTACACACTGGAATCCCGTGATTTAGGAGGTGGGGGCAGAAGTTCCCAGGCTTCCTGACCATCATTTAAAATGTAAGGTCTCAACTTTTGTTTGCTTTTTTTGTTTGTTTGAATCCGGGTCTCTCAGATAGACCAGGCTGTCTTTGAGCCGGCCCATGTAGCCAAGGATGACTTGAACTCCTGACCCTTCTCCCTCTCAAATGCTGGGATTATAGGCATACAACACCATCCCAGCCCTGTGTGTGTTCTGCTCAGTGGCACAGACTCTCCAGCCAACCCTGTTTCTATCTACCAGGCATTGTGCTTTGTAGACTAGAGACCAATTCACACATTTTGATTCATTTAGGGTCAAAAAAGTTTTGGTGGGACTTGCTTGGCAACCCAGCACCCAAGCCTTTCAATCTTTTTTTTGGTTTTTACGAGACAGGATTTTTCTGTATTGTTTTGGAGGCTGTCGGTCCAGCCCAGCCTCGAACTCACAGAGATCCGCCTGCCTCTGCCTCCCGAGTGCTGGGATTAAAGGCGTGTGCCACCACCACCCGGCCAAGCCTTTCAATCTTAACTTTAGAATCACTATTAAGGAAAGCTTTCTAAAACACATATACACACGCACAATACTCATGTCATCCTAAGATGTGGATTGAGTTTGTCTGAAATGCTGGATTGGGTTAATTGAATGAAGAGTTTGAGCCAGTGGTTGAAGAGGTTTGAGATCTGTGGTTCTCCTGAATAGAACAGGGCTTCCACTAGGTAGCACACTGAAAGATAAGAAATGCAAGTTACGCTGGGCGTGGGGTGGCGCACGCCTTTAATCCCAGTACTCGGGAGGCAGAGGCAGGCGGATCTCTGTGAGTTTGAGACCAGCCTGGTCTACCAAGCGAGTTCCAGGACAGCCTCCAAAGCCACAGAGAAACCCTGTCTCGGAAAAAAAAAAAAAAGAAATGCAAGCTAGATGGGGATACACAAAGTAAAAGCTTGCTGAGTTTAGGAATGTTGTTTGTTTGGTTTTTGAGATAAGGTTTCTCTGTGTAGCCCTGGCCGTCCTGGAACTCACTCTAGATCAGGCTGCCCTTGAACTCAGAGATTCCTCTGCATCTGCCTCCCAAGTGCAGGAATCTGTTTGTTTGTTCATTAATTAATTTTTTTTTTGAGACAGGGTTTCTCTGTGTGGCTCTTGTCTGTTCCAGACCAGACCTCACTCTGTAGACCAGGCTAACCTCGAACTCACAGAGGTCCACCTGCCTCACCTGCCTCTGCCTCTCTTAGTCTTGGGATTAAAGGCCTGCATCACCACCGCCCAGCTAGGAATCTGTTTTTAAATGTTTGCAGTAGAGATTTTTGTTTGTAGGGCATGGACTGAGCTGTAAGTTGCCATTAAATTTTATCCCTGAAGTGAAATAAATAGTAAAAAGCTATTTCCCTGAAAAGGAGAAAAGAAGCCACTCAGCAGTAAGGATTGGCAAATATCTTCTTTGGGGGTGAGATAATATTTTAAGCTTAGTAAGAATATAATGTCTCTATGGTTTAATCTTGTCCTGCTGTTATAAGTCACTTAAAAGTATAAAACTTGTTCTTAACTCAGAGGATACAAGAGCAGGTGGGTAAGCCAGGTGTGGCCCATTGGGTATGGTTTGCATCTCCTAATTAAACTTGTGTTTCCCATGGAACACTTTATTTTTTGGTGATGTTAACTAATTATCTTTTTGTTTTTCTTTTATTTTAGTTAACTCATCTACTTACACTATTTACATGGGAAAGGATAAATATGAAAGTAAGTTTACAAAAGCATTTGATTTTAAAATTTTAAGCAGGTAAGTGCTGTTCTTATGCCCTGTTGTGTTTATTGTTTTTGTTATTAGTTTCTTTAATTCCTTTTGGAAATTATACTTGACAAACGCCAGTTGTCCATATTTTTGAGTATAGAGTTTTGAATACATACGCACATTATGAGGTGATCAGATTGGAATACACAGTATTTCTGTCACCTCAAACATTTATCATTCCTTCTTGGTTAGAGTATTCAAGATCCTGTCTTCTAGCTACTGTGGCATAGACTTTGGTAAGTGTTTACTCTGCTACAGAATAGGAGACATGTTTCTATCTGATTATTGTTTTACTGGTTGGCCAGCCTCTGTCATACCTTCCCAGCCACTGGTAGCTTCTCCTTCTATGAGGTTAGACTTTCTCCTCTGCTTGTCTTGTTCAACTGGGTCTTATATGTACCTCAGTTGTAGTTTATGTAGGGGATAGTATAACTGAGTGCCTCATGAAGGCTGAACACAAATACTCAACTAAGCTATGTGCCAGACTCAGTTGAATAATTTTATTTTCCCTTTGAGACAAGATTGCACTCTGTAGCTCAGGCTGGCTTAGAACTCATAGCACACCTCCTGCCTCATCCCCTGGAGTGCTGAACTTAAGCGTGTGAACCACTGTGGCTAGCTCAAGTTGACCTTGGTGGTGGAGAGAGTAGGAGTTTGCAGCACTGATCTGACAGAACCTTAGAGGGCCTGGAGAGAAAGAGGGACATTCCTTGAGATCGGAAAATGTAGCTGCCATCCTCCTGGAGCAGTGTGAGGGTTTAGAGAAGCAGCTGTGGAGTTGTACCAGCATTAGCAAGCTTGCTGAAGTTATGCAACCTCTTTGGACCTCAGATTTCTTAGCTATGAGAGACTCCTGGACTGTAGCTACCACACAAGGTTGTCAAGGTTAGGGGAAGGGCTGTGTGGAGTGTCTAACCCATGAGAGCACTTGTCAGCTGGTAGATAGACCCCTGAGCTTAGGATCCCAGATACCACTCTCCATCTTGCTTCTCTGGGAACACTGGCCCTGGGTTTGGGTGCTGATACCTAAGTAAGTCTTGAGCGCTGGCTGGTCACACTGTTATCTGTGTTTAAGCTTTTTAGTGCTCCTTATCAGTTTGTCCGTTTCTTTCGAGAATTGTCAGTGTCTAGTCTAGTTTGTGCAGTTTGACATTGACAGTAGTTAGAATTTGGCAGTTTATATATACTAAAAGAGGCGCACATACCATTCTTCAGTAAGACATATTTGACATTAATGAAATAGACAAGACCAAAAAAATGGTTGCTATAAAGCAGAACTGGTAAGATTAAGATTGTATCATTATGAAGAGAGAAACAACAGATAACAGCACAATTAAGTAGCCCACATTTTGAAGCAATTTGCCATTGTAGTGAATTTATGGCATTGACTAAGATGTGACCTAATGCTGAATTCATCCATACTATATTAATATTTGAGTTCTAGGCTTCTCCTTGTAGCCCATAATATCACTAATCATTTTCACTTATCACCTAGCATCCTTCTGGTATCACGAAGGAAAGGATGCTGTCTCCCTGTTCTACATAGAACAGTAAGGCACCGCTACAAGAGCCATAGTTACTCAGATCGGATATGAAAGCAGATCTGCTGACAAATATGGTTTCCTTTCTAATCCGTCAGAAGTGGAACCTGACACAGCAGCCTCTGGGAAGCGCTTATAGCCAGGCTACTAGCTACATGAGTGATGCAGGCTTTGCACTGTATAACTGGGGGGCTGGGGACAAGGCATTCCCTCCTGTCTTGTCTCCTTCTGTGATCTCTACTCTTCATTGAGGGCTTATTTTGTGGGGCCTCATTCCAGTCTGTTCGAGGAACACATTGGTAGGGCTTTGCTGCATTCAGATGTGTACACACACACACACACAAGCATATGTATTTTGTTGTGAACCTAAAACTCTGAAATATAGGACATGTTTTGAAATGTGGACACAATGCATTCATTACTAGCACATGCTATAGAAGGGATGGTTAATGTGGTTTGATGCACTGAGCTATGAAGTCTTGTATTTGTAGTAGAATTTATGCCTAGAAACACACCTAGATGCAGCATCCGTCTCCACAGCCATGAATCTGGATGTCTAGAGCCTCTGGTGTTTTGTGTCACTGTGTATGTATAGAACATTTGCTCGTCAGGAAACTTTGGAGTTGTGTGGAGGTGCCAACCCTTCTGAGTTAACCTCATAAGAAAGGGAAGTACATTTTAAAGCCTCTTTTGGAAGATAATTCATAGTAGCTCCCATTTATTTCTAGTAGCCCTGCAGTTTCTAAGTAAGCATTGGATAGAACAGAAATTGAATTTTTAAGTGGTGGATTTGCCGAGCAGCTGAGAGGCCTTTTCTCTTTATAGCCAGCAGGTGGCCTCAGTCATGCATAATAAAAACATTTCTCTAAGTGTGCTATTAATATTTTCCTTTACCTTCTCAGTTATTTCCCCAGCTTCCCACTTACATAGTAAATTCCTGGTGTCTTCCAGAAAACTCCTAATGTCTACTATTGTCAAGAGTGTCTTCTCCCAAGAGTTGTATATATCTTAGCCTGTAATAATCTATCCTTTCTGCCGTGTCAGCTGCGTAGCCTGTGTCCGAGAACGTGTGGAGGGTGTTGGGGATTGACAACACAGAGACTCGTTCAACTATGTAAAGAAAACTTTAAGCAGGCCCCAAAAAGGTTCAAGCAAACTTCCCAAGAAAGGCTCCCTCCAGAGAGACTTCTGCTCTCTCCTCTACCCTGGCTGGTTCTGCTGTGACACCAAAAACTGATCTGGGCATGTCAAAAGAGGCGGTTAGTCTTTGGACAAGGTCAAGGTCAGGGCGGTTCCCGTGGGCAAGCCTTTTCCAGGAACTTATTGCCCCGGGCATTGTATTGTTTTTAGTAAACATTGTCTTACAGCTGCCTACTCCCAGGCTGATGGGGAAGTGGGTCTCTGCTCAAGGTCTGGTGTTCCCACACCTTTCTTAGGTACATCTAAAATCTTCACATAGGAATCACATGTTTTCCTTGAAGTTTTTAATTGGTGTTTACCTGCCACATATACAGTTAAAATTTCAGATAATAAAATTCTTATCATAATAAAAAATCAGTTCCCTACTTCTATAGTTCATTCTTCCTCATCCTCCCAAAACTTTCCCTTGTAATTAGTCTTTCTCTGTCCTGCCAGCTACCTCTCAAATAATGACATGGAGACTTGTTAATTATGAAATCCTGGCCTATGGCTTAGGCTTATTTCTTATTAGCTCTTATAACTTAAATTACCCCATTTCTGTTAATCTATGTTTGACCCTCTCCTCTGGCTTTTGCTTTTCTTTCATTCTGTATGTCTGACTCCCTCCATGTCACATTGGTATCTCCTCTGTGCCTTGATTAGCTCCTCCTACTTCCTCTCTGCACATAAGTCCCACCTATACTTCCTGCCTAGCTATTGGCTATTCAGCTCTTAGACCAATCACAACAATATATCTTCACACAGTGTAAATATCGCACAAGGCTCCCTACCTCTCATAACAATTCCTTTTCACTCTTTCACCTCCTTTTTCTGCCAGTTTTCAGATACAGTTTTTTTTCTTTTTTATACAGATATGTTCGTAGTATCCTTGAGTATATAATTAAAGGTTTGTTTTCTTTCATTGCTGCTGTTCTAACAGGGTCTTACAAGGTCTCACTAAACTGACTTGATCTAGCTTTTTAGTCCAAGTTGTTCTCAAACTCACCATCCTCCTGGCTCAGCTTCCCAAGTGTGCGTAAGCATACTCTGCCGAGTGTTTTTGGTTTTTCTCTATCTGTCCATTTGTTTGATCTTTGGAGACACATTCCAGGCTGGTCTTAACTCCTTATGTGGCCAGGAATGACCCAGACCTTGATTCTCTTGTCTCTACCTCCCAATTGCTGAGGTTACAGGTTGTGAACCACATTTGGCTTCTGTGGTGCTGGGGACCAAACCTAGGACTTCATGAAGACTAGACAAGCAATGCATCCACTGAACTCTAGTCCTAGACCATCATCATCATGATGTAACTCATTATTTTAAAGTTTGAACAAAATCGTATTAGTGTTTAAGCGTTATAGTTAGTCAGACTCACCTACTTCCCAGCTGCTGAAGTGTTTTTTTAGTATTCCTTTCATTCTAAGGAAGCGTCCTTGGGTTTTGGATTAGAAGTGTGATAAAAGCCACACAGTGTATATTTTCTGACTGTAAAAGCTGTCATTCTTTTCAAGTTTCCAAGTCTTCGTCTCTGTTGTCTCCATTAAGGAAGAGGAGATAGTGAAAGGGGGCAGTCTGTTTTTCCCTTACCAACATAAAAATCCTGGTATATTTTCACTTAACAGTTTTTCTTAATTTCTTTTTCTCTCCTCTTGTACCTTACTGTAGATGAAGATCTGATAAAGTATGGCTGGCCTGAAGATATTTGGTAAGTAGCAATTGTTAGTCATTTAGATTTTAGACTTGGCCCTCTACCTGCCTCCTATAATTAAAACTACATCTCCATGTTGTTTTTACTTATGGTACTCATGAGTAAGTAGCTGCAATCCCCTTCCGTGTTTCACCCCATGGCCCAAGAGAAAGTGCTAGCTCCTAACATACCTTCTTGGCCACTTTCCTTTTCCATGTTCATTTTCCACTGCTTATTCTGTCCATCATATTCTCCTGGAACCTAGTCTTACCATCTGAGTGGAGTATCATTCTCCCTGGAGATATGTTCTCAGGTCCTATGTACTTGGGTGTGATGGCAATAGTGTACATTTTTCAAGCACTTAACTCTGCCAGACATTGTCAAGTGTCAATACATTTAATTTCTCAACAACCTATAAAGTATTGCTATCATGTCCATTTTTTAGATGAGGAGCAGAACCAGTCTGCACTGGTTATTACTGGTCCAGCCTAGGCTCTCACAGGCCCAGCTCAGCTTCTAAATCATTAACTCTCCTAAGGACACCATTCTTCACGCTTCAGTTCACTGCCCCGTCCCCCACCCTCCAGGCCCATTGCTGTAACCCTCCAGATCTCTTTTCTCCAGCTATGGGCTGCAGAATTCCCTTATTTCCCTAGAGCACTATGAGATTAGATGGCCACTTTTCAGAAGAGCTGGTTCAGTTTTCAGTAAGGTGTGCTGCATTGAGCACTTAACAGAGAAGTATTGTACAGAAAGTAACTCAAGCCCCATTTGCCCCCCTTACCTGCGGCTCTGCTCGGAAGCCCCCTCGAATCTACAGGGGCTCCCCAAAGGGCCTCTTGGACTTCTACCTGCTTGGCTGTGAAGGTCTCTAGTTGATGGCCCCGGTGGGCATGTTTTCCTATCATTCCAAAGTCCACACTGAGAAGCGGGAGGCAGCAGACACATGAGGAATTTTAAAGGCTTAAGACCACAAAAACTGTTCCAGCCCAGTGTCCTAGCTTCTGAGCTCAAATGTGCCCTGCTTAGGGCCCCTTTGCTTAGGTGGGCAGGGTGTACTGCTTGGAATTCCTGAATTTCTGGCCTTCAGAAGGCGCTATGTCTTCAGTAGGACAGCTGTTTACCTGCTTTGTAAACTCCCGAGGTTATCAGTGCTGTCACATAACAAGAGTTGGATACTATTGGCTTCCCACATGGCTCTCTTGCTGCCCTCCTAGAAACATACCCACTGAACACTTCCTTGGTGTGACTGGTTCCTGTTGTCTCCCTGGTGTCTGTCATCCCCAGCTGAAGTATTCCCGAAGATGCCAGACTCTTTAATGCCAATGTCTGTACCTGTTAAGCAGTTAACCTGCTGTACTTTTTTGCATTTGGTTTTTTCAAGCTAGAGTTTGGTTATTTCAGGCTTTCCTGGAACTCACTGTGTAACCCAGGCTGCCTTTGAGAACACAGAGGTTTTTTGTCTTCCAAGTGCTAGAACTGCAGTTCCCTTGTTCACCTATGCTGTATTAGCATACAGATTGGAGGATAGCTGCTTATATAGGAAAGGTTACATAGTAAGATACACCTAGAAAGTCAGTTTACCATAACTTTTGAACTTTTTAAAATTAAGCAGGTAGAAAACAAGTTTCTAATTTAAAGCCCACACTAGTAAATTGTGGCTTGATTTTTTTTTTAAAGATTGAGACTCACCAGGTTTATATCTACAGGTACTGAGAGGTCCCTTTTGGCACTTTTAGTAGTCTAGAAATTAATGCCCAAAGTTCATCACAATTGACTTTTATTTTGAGAAGTTATTTGAGAACTCAGGCAAGCTGGAGCAGCCCCAAATCTTGGGACCCCGTTCCAATTCATGTGCTGTCAGCCTTGACAATCTTACAGGGATTGACCTGGACAAAAGAGCAACCCTGAACTCATCTGCATTCTGGTGTTAACCTGGTTTTTATTCCCTAATATTGGCTAGGGGGATTTACTGTGGCAGCTCCTGAGTCTTGTAATCCTTTTGAGGTTCCTTTAAACAAACACTTTTTGAGGGATTAAATGAGATTAGAAATAAATTAGTTTCTAAGTGAGAAAAAGAAATGGTGTCTTTGATACCTCCAGACTGCCTAATGAGTAGAATTTTCACAGGCCTCACTTTAAAGAGCTGAACCACTCCCTGTGCCTCTGCACCCTCAGGTAATTGTTCTTTTATTGGAAATTCTAGTCTCTGAGTTGGTGAAGAGTATCAAGATGAGCAGGGATGGGAATATAAGGAGGACAAGAGGCTAAGAGTGGAAGTAGTTTAAAGTTCAAGTGAGCATTTTTAGGATTACTGGAATGTTTCTTTCAGGGGTTGGTATTTTAAACCCTGTATTTCTGTCAGTCTCTCTGCCTTTTGTAGCTATGTACTAGTATATGTAAGCCTGAAGTTGTCATATACTAGCTGTGAAGAGACACGATGACCACGGCAACTTATAAAAAAGAAAGCATTTCATTGGGGCCTTATAGTTTGAGAGGCCTAGCCTGTTATCATCATGGTGGAGAGTATGATAGCACACATGGCACTGGAGCAGTAGCTGTGAGCTACATCCTGATCTCGTGTGTGTGTGTGTGTGTGTGTGTGTGTGTGTGTGTGTGTGTGTGTGTGTGTGTGTGTGTGTGTGTGTGTGTGTGTCTGGGCCTGGCATGAGCTTTTCAAACCTCAAAACCCACCCCCAGTGACATACTGACCACACTTCCTAATCCTTTCAATGAGTTCCACTCCCTGGTGACTAAGCTTTCATATATATGAGCCCATAGGTGCCATTCTTATTCAGACTACCATCCTAACCATGATACTCCTATGTGTACTTTGACTACCTAGGTATGAACTCATTAACATATGTTGAATTATTTTGGTATTTCTATTGACAGGAATCCATATAGGAGACCTTGAAGAAAAAGGAGAATCTAAGATAGCTACTATTGCTGGTAGGAAGGGCTGTTACTAATAAAGAGCTGTCACTAAGCAAGCAGAAGCCAGCATGGCAGGTGTTCCTTCTCAGTTCAGGTCAGTTCACAGCATAATATTTTTCCTTAAGATTCTGAAAGGAGAAAGAGATATTCAAAATTTCTAGGTTTATAAAAGATACAGAATTTTCTGGGCAGAAAAATGCCCAGCTAAAGGTGATAATTAGTATGAATTTTTCATGGGAATACAAATGAGTAAATGAGCAGTTTGGAAAAACATGAATTAAATATGATGTAATGTCCATTTCTGGCTAAGAATAAGAAGCAACCCAGGTAATTTGCCCAAGTCTGAACATTGTTCTGTATCCAGCACAATTAATAAGATATTTAGCTTCTTTGAGGGCATTAGAAACACCATAATCTTAGCCTTCATACTGAGTCATCCTTGTCTATATCCTACATAGAGTGTAAATGTATGGCCCCTTTAACACCTAGAATAGATGTCAATAACAAGAAAATGCCTGGGGAGGTCTGTAATGAGACACAGTGATGCCTCCTTCAGTTTTTTTTTTTTTTTTTTTTTTTGGTTTTTTCGAGACAGGGTTTCTCTGTGGCTTTGGAGGCTGTCCTGGAACTTGCTTGGTAGTCCAGGCTGGTCTCGAACAGAGATCCGCCTGCCTCTGCCTCCCGAGTGCTGGGATTAAAGGTGTGCGTCACCAACACCCGGCTGTTTCTTCATTTTTGAAACAGGGTTTTACTAAGTAGTCCAGGCTGACTCTAACCTTGTGATACTCCTGCCTGCTGGAATTAGAGGCCTCAGCTTCCATAGGCTTCCTTAGACCTTGTTAGGAACAGTACCAACTGAAGTTAACAGTCACAGTGTCAGTCATGTGTGGGAAGGACTGTTACTAATAAAATGTTGTCACAAAACAAGCAGAAGTCAGAATGGCAGGTACTCCTCAGTTGAGGTCAGTTCATAGCGTAGTTGTTCATTATTTAATGCTTACATTCTAGGCCCATCTCTGCATGTTGCAAAGTGAGTCAGCTTCATTTAGCAAATTATATGCATGAAAAATGTCACATCAACTTTTAAAGATTACATTAAATTGATGGATGATAACCCTGTCTTAGGGTTACTATTGCTGTGATAAAATACCATGACCAAAAGCAGCTTGGGCAGGAAAGGGTTATTTCACTCATAGTTCCATAATAACATTCATCATCAAAAGCAGTGAGGACAGGAACGCATATGGTGCAGGAACCTGGAGGTAGAAACTGATGCAGAGGCCATGGAGCAGTGCTGCTTACTGGTTTGCTCTCTATGATGCTCAGCCTGCTTTCTTACAGAACCCAAGACTACTAGCCCAGGGGTAGCCCCACCCACAATGGGCTAGGTAACTCAAGCTCCCACTTTACAAGTGGCTCTGCTGGGACGCCCCCACGTGTCTTCCCCCATCAATCACTAATTAAGAAAATGCCCTACAGGCTTGCATACAGCCCCATCTTATGGAAACATTTTCTCAATTGAGGTTCCCTCTTCTGATGATTCTAGCTTGTGTCAAGGTGGCATAAAACTAGCCAGTACAAATCCTAAAGAAAAGTGAATTTAAGATGCTGTGGAAGACTATCCCACCTTATTACCATCACTTGGGAGGCAGAGGCAGGAGGATCTCTGTGAGTAAAATGCTAGTCCAGTCTGCATAGCAAGTACCAGACCAGCCAGGGCTCCGTAGTGAGACCCTATATAGACCACGTTTTTTTCTGATCTGCCTTTATCCGTGCTGTAGGGCATTCTGAGTGACTTTTGGACAGTGCCAGTGCCATATAGACCATGTTCACCCAGGGATGCATGTTGATGCTATTGTGAGTGGGGATGGGTGTGGGGATTGGAAGAATTCTTAGTCTGACCCATTTAATGATGCAGTCTGCTAAATCTGAACTTGATCGTTGGTTTTGATTGTCTTGCCCTCGTTGGAAACTCAGGGTATCAGAAACCATAGTCTCCTCTTCTCCAGACTCCAGAAGCTCCCAGGTCGGCAACAGTTAAGTTTCACTGACTTCTTCCATCCTTTCTCATTGGAATTCTTTCCCTGTTTTTCTACTTGGCTTGTGCTTTTGTCAGGGGCAGCCAAATCTCAATTCTTCCATGAAGTCTTTGGTCACTAATAGCCCTTTTTATCACTTGAAGCTTCACTCTTCCCAGGATGTTTTCATATTTATTATCTGACTCGTCTTGGCCCGTAGCCACACACAGCTGCATAGCTCCCAAGTTCCTCTTGCCTCTCCAGGTTGCTGGCCAGCCCTTTGGAGATGGTGACTGTTTTATAATAAGTCCCAGGGAATACTTTCTTGGAATCGGATGCTTTTGATGCAAGTGACTGAGGACATGGTTGTCTTGCTCTTGCTAAAAGTTGTTTCCTCCTTTGTAGGTTTCACGTGGACAAACTCTCTTCGGCTCATGTATACCTTCGATTACAAAAGGTAACTGAATGTAAACATGAATTTGTGACTTTTTCTTTGGTGATGAACACCATATTTTTTTGTGTGTGATTAAGTTACTTAAGTTACAAATATGTTCAAAGTCATAAAGATTAGTCTTCCTCCTACCAAGAAGATTGTTACAGAAACTTCTGAATGATTGGTTTCCCAGGTGGAAGCCCTGCCTTGTCCAGTCTGTTCAGTGTATATCGTCTGTCCTCTTTGCTTCCTGTCCCATTTAGTTCAGTTGTTGCTGGCATCATTCTAGTGGCTTCTTTTTCTCAGACTCAGACAGCCCACCTGGCTTGCTGAGGGTACCTGTTCCCAGTGTCTTTGGACAGTCTTAAACCGCATGATGGTAATACAGGAACAAAGATGTCATGTGCCCTGATAACACAGCACCACTACTTTTTTCTAATCTGCCTTTATCCATGTATTTTCAATAATTAAAGTACATGGTATGTGTGCTTGTATGAATTAGCTTTTAAAAAATAGATGCATTTAGGGCTTACAAGATTTGGACTTATAAAAAAGTTACAAAGGGTATATGGCTTTCCTGTTGCCAGCATCTTATATCACATGGTGGATTCTCAAACCACTTACTGCTCTTAACTAAATTCTGGACTTTATTTGAACAGTTTCTTCATTGATGTCCCTTTTCCAGAAACTATTGTAAGGTACCACAGTGTATTCACTTGTCCCCTCTGCCCTGATTTCCATGGCAGTGTTTTTTCCCTTGTTTTTTGTGATCTTGTCAGTACAGTCAGTGATCTTTACAGAATGTCACTTTAGTTATATGATGTGTCTTATTTTTCTCATGATTAGCTAGCGGTCACAGGCTTGAGGGGAAGAAAAGCACAGAGGGGAGGAGCCTTTCACTCATCATGTCAGACAGTGTATGCCTTAACATGACTTATACTGATGCCAGGAGCCTGGACTGCCTGGCCAGGGCTGTGCCTGCCAGCTTCCTCCACCATGGCACTGCCTTTCCAGACTTGGTTACTACAGCCCAAGTTGGGGTCCAACTTCCACTCAGGCAGGGGCAGAGGGAAGTTCTGCTTTTAGGGTAGGGCCCATTTCATTATTTGGAGTTCATGTAGAAGGGGACTTGTTTCTCCTTTGTTTGCATCAGCAAGGAGTTTATTATATGCTTTGGGCCCTTGTGTATATTTGGGTGCTGTGTTCTGTTGCTCATATTATACTCAGCTCTAATGAGTTGAGATCCCTGTTAGCTTGCCCCTGGGCTCCACTGATATGCACCCAACCTCTTGTTTATTTATTTTTAATTTGAATTTTATTCATTAAAAAAATTTGGTTTTGTTTTTATTTTGAAACAACCATATTATGTAGCCCAGACTGGCCTCAAACTCAAAGAAATTTGCCTGTCCCTGCCTCCTAAGTGATAGATTCAAAGGTATGTGCCATCACACTTTGCCAAAAAAGTTTTTTTTTTTTTTTTAACAAAAGTCCTGGCTGGTCAGGAACTTCCTATGTAGAGCAGGCTAGCCTTGAACCTGTGATTCCCCTTTCTGAATGCTGGGATTACAAGCATACATGACTATAATTTATAACATTCAATAGTTTCTTGGACCCGAGCTGCAGTATCTGACAGCGTTCCTTGTTCTCAAGTTGTATGAACGGCATGCATGTGTTGCGTGTTCAAAATGGAGATTGCAGTGAAGTCACTGGGAAGCGATACCAGAAGTGTTTGGTCCATAGCTAGATTTTAGAGCTGCCTTGATGTCCCAGGGTCGCTCTGAGCTCTGTCATTTGCTGGACATGAGAACCTTAGCCTAGTACTGTGAGAGTATATGGTGAGCACTCAACAAATGGTAGCTACTGAATGGTTGTTTTTTGTTTTTTGTTTTTTTGTTTGTTTGTTTGTTTTGGTTTTTCGAGACAGGGTTTCTCTGTGGCTTTGGAGGCTGTCCTGGAACTCGCTCTGTAGACTAGGCTGGCCTCGAACTCACAGAGATCCGCCTGCCTCTGCCTCCCAAGAGCTGGGATTAAAGGCGTGTGCCACCAACGACCGGCTGAATGATTGTTTTTTTAACCATCATGATTGATTTAGTGTAGAGTTGTCACCTCTTACTAGTTTTGCCACTGCCACTCAATTGTAGCTTCGTGTAATGACTGTTATTCTTGATGACAGCACCATTATAGAGGTATAAATGGACTGAGAAATACACAGGATGGGATGCCTTCAAGTTCTTTTTTGGTTGGTTGGTTGGTTGGTTGGTAGATTTTTTTGAGACAGGGTTTCTCTATGACTTTGGAGGTTGTCCTGGAACTAGCTCTTGTAGACCAGGCTGGTCTTAAACTCCAGAGATCCACCTGCCTCTGCCTCCCGAGTGCTGGGATTAAAGGTATGCATCAACACTGCCTGGCTGCCTTCAAGTTCTTGTGTACATAATTTTCAATGTAGCTGGGAATGTAATTTAGTGGTAGAGTACTTGCCTAGCATATAGAAGGAAGGCCCTGGGTTCACTTCTCAGATAACATGCATGCACGCGCGAGCGCGCGCACACACACACACACACACACACACACTCTCTCTCTCTCTCTCTCTCTCTCTCTCTCTCTCTCTCTCTCTCTCTCTCTCTCTCTTACACTTGAAAATTATGATAATGAGATAAAGTTATTCCAGCATTGAGTTCTGTGTAGCATTTGTCCTCTGATGGGTGTTTTTGTAATCCCATCCCTAATAGAACCTGATTCTTAACTAATTTTCCCACTCATGCCTCTGGAATGTCTTTGTACTTTGGAAATTACTTTCTCAGATGTTGAATTGGTAACAGTTTCGGTGGAGAAAATAGCATCTCTGTCCTTTCTCCCTCCTGGTAATAAATAGTGGGGGCCCAACACAAGAACTCACCCTGGACACATGGGGAAGGGCCTAGGTCCTGCCCTGGATGAAATGACAGACTTTAGAGATCCCCACAAGGAGGGCCTCACCCTCACTGGGGAATGATGTGGGGATTGGGTGGGAGGCTGGCGGAGGGACAAGGGAGGAGGGATGGGAGAGGGAGCTGGGACTGACATGTATAACATTCATGTTTCTAATTTAAATAAAAACATATATTGAGAAAAAAAAAGAACTCACCCTGATTGTAGCTGGGGCGTGGGGGTGGGTAGGGGTGTGTAAGATGGTCTGTGAGATGTTTGGGATCCAGAACTCTTAAGGCATTTTTTTCAAAGGAAGGGACCTCAGCCAGGGAGACTTCACATGCTTTCCAGAAAAGAATGAGGATAAAAACTACTGAGAATCACTGCAGTTAATATCTTCACCATGATTTTAAAAACGTGTTAAGTACAGTTTTCTGCGTTAGTGCCTTCTCTTAGTTCAGGCAGCATCCTATGGGGGGCATGGTGAATTTACTTCATCTTTCAGTGTCTGATGTGAGTGCTCCAGTGGCCATCAGGAACTAAAGAGGATCATGTGACTTATTTCATGTTGCAGGGAGAGAAGATAGAAGACATTCCAAAGGAGGTTCTGATGGACTGTGCCCACCTTGTGAAGGCCAATAGCATTCAAGGTCAGTTTTTCCAGAATTGTTTTCTGAGTGAGCATGCACCTTTTCTGTCTGGAATGAAGTCCATTTAGCAGGTCAATAGAAGATAAATTTGAGGAGAGGGCAGTTTTGCTGCTTGTCAGGGAACAAAAAGCTCACTGCCCACTCCTCCAAGTTTCACTCTCCTTTCCGAGTCTTGGCCCTCGTGACTTTTTTCCTTTCCTTGAATAGGAGGTCATTGAGCTCTGTCTAAGACTTTCGGCAACATGGCAGTGTTGATAGCTAAGGAGATGTATCTCATGGCTTTGTGTTCATGTTGGTGTCAACTATCATCATTTGTCATCAGATTTTGTTTTGGTTTTTTTTTAATTTTTTTAAATATAATTTTGTATATGGTGTTTTGCTTGCATGAATGTCTCTGTGCCATGTGAATGTCTAGTGCCCTGGGAACCCAGAAGAAGATGTCAGATTCCCTGAAACTGGGGTTATAGACAATTGTGAGCCACCAGGTGGGTGTTGGAAATTGAACCCAGATTCTCTGGAAGAGCATCCATTGTTCCTAATTATTAGGCTGTCTCTCTAGCTCCTTGTTTGCATATTTTGAACCAGAATCTTGCTATGCAGTCCAAGCTAGTGTGGAACTCACTGTGTAGCTCAGACTGGCCTCAAACTCATAATTTTCCTGTTTCAGCTTCCTGGGTACTGGAAGTAGTATAGGTGTGTGTGTCTATACCAGGCTTAGAGCTAGAGACTTTAAGTCATGCCTTTTCTTTTCCCCTTCTCTTGCATGCTTTATCTTTCCTTTAAGTTGTGAAGGTTTTGAGTTCTTTGACTCTATTGTCTTTGCCCACAGAATCTTACTTAGTTGGTCTGGGTGGTCCTTGGGTGTCGTTATCTTTCAGAAGCTCTTTGGGTGAGCCGGTGTGCAGTGTGGGTTGGGAACAATCGCCCTATGTGTTTTAGGCAGTAGTTAAAATACTGGGCTTGGTGCCTGCTTAATTCTACTAGATAAGATTTAATCTGAACGAAGGGTCTAGAATGATAACTAGGATGGGGATAGCAGTTATGAAGGGGGCTGAGAGGTATTGGTCTAAATGACTGAGCTAATTAATAGGTGAGATTGTAGAGTAGGATGCAGGCCTGGATAGAGAGAGATAACTAGTTGTAGATGAAGTTGGAAGATGATACAGGGCAAATACAGCTGATAACAGTCACTGGGGTTCCATGATTACATGATGAGAGCTTGGCAGCCTTCTTTCATGTAGACTGGTGTCTTCAGTCTCAACTCAGGCAGCCTTAATAACAAACTACGAATATATACAAAGAAGCTTAAAATTTGCCTTTTGGAGTCTCTCTTTTTTTAACTCCATAAATCAACGGGTTGTTATGAGTGAGGACATTCTGTTTTATGAGTAGAATAGACTGTCTTAGATGTTCAGTTACTGAAGTAAACATTGAAACAAGCAAACTGTTTATTCTGTGTTTCAACCTCTTCTGCACAGCTATTTTCTTTTTTCTGTGCCCTGACTCGAAAATGAGTCTTGGTTCAAAGAGCTGGCGACTCCTTATTCTCAGCTCAGTTTCTTTCTTTTAATGTCCTTAGAGTTTACAAATTCTAGAGAAAACAGAGCGGGAAGAATGGTGACACAGGAACTACTCCCCATTCTTCCTCAGCCTTGCACGGTGATTGCTCACATAGCAGAATATGAAGCTGAGCCCCAGGCTCCTCTCTAATCATTGCCCGAGGATGCTGCTGAGGACTGACAAGAGCTGGGAGACTGCAGAGGACATGCACCAGCAGCTCTGCACTTGCCAAGTTCTGTCTTGCGCTACACTAAGGGAACAAGCTTGCTGGTTTCTGCTAAATTGGTCCATTTTAGGTCAGAATCATAGGTTTGTCTAGGTTGGGGGAAAAGGCTCCACTAATAACCAAACAAACCTTCCTAAATGTATTGGTTTCCTCAATGTCAGGTGGGGTCAGAGAGTGATAGGCACCTGTGGCTTGTTAGGTATTGCCAGGCTGGCTTTCTGTATCTTAGTCTATATCTTACTGTGGCTGTATCTTACTGGTTAGCCATTATTACCTCAACGATTGCTTCAAGGGTCTAAGGAAACTCAGTTGGTCCTTTTCTCTTGAAAACTATGTACATGGTAATTTTGAGTTCAATTTTAAGGAGTTCTTAGAAGTCCCTGTTGTTAGTAGTGGACCCTTGCTTTTTCCACTGTAACACTTTGACTTAATGTTTGATTTCCCACTTGCCTTCGGTGCTTTGGAACATCAGAGGTGTGCTCTTCTCAAGCCTTGTCTAGGATGGGTGATGTTTGCTGCGGGTGAGGACTGTGCCGCTCAGTGTCACGTTTCCTGCCTGTTGAAGACAGTCTCTCTTGGCAGGATGCAAGATGAACAACATTAATGTGGTGTACACGCCATGGTCTAATCTGAAGAAGACAGCTGACATGGATGTGGGGCAGATAGGCTTTCACAGGCAGAAGGATGTAAGTGTTCATGGATCACAGGAGGCGGGGCCTGACTCCAAGCTGAGTGTGATGTTCCTAAGGGTGTTAAACTGGGCAACGAAAGCCCTGGAAAGCCAAAGCTTTGCCCCTCTTAAGTGAGAGAAAAATAATTAAGGCTAAGTGATTTTCACCTTACCTCCCTCAAAGGTAAAAATTGTGACTGTGGAGAAGAAAGTGAATGAAATCTTGAACCGATTAGAAAAGACCAAATTGGAGAAGTTTCCCGACCTAGCAGCAGAGAAAGAAGGCCGAGATCGCGAAGAGAGGAATGAGAAAAAAGCTCAGATTCAGGAAATGAAAAGGAGAGAGAAAGAAGAAATGAAGAAGAAACGAGAAATGGATGAACTCAGGTGTGATGGGGCTGTGGCCTTGCTGGTGGTTGACACAGGTTACCCTTGAAGTCCCTGCTCTCAGACTTTCCAGGAAGGCACATAAAAGCTCAGAGTTGAATGAGTTGTTAAGAGGTAGTGTTGTTGATGTGAAAATTGCCTTTTTAGAGATGTATTGGGTGTGAGTGAGTGAGTGAGTGAGTGAGTGAGTGAGTGAGTGAGTGAGTGAGTGAAATTAAAGGTTTGGCTTTACTTCCCCATTGTAAGCCATTGTGAACTTCCTCGGAATCTGGTTTGTTTGTGAGAAGGAAACGGTAAAGGAGTGTGTAGTCTTGAGCAGCTGTGCCATTTGGACAAAGATACAGAGCTGGGTAACTCAGAGCTGCTTCTATAATGTGATGGGGCCTGCTTCGATGTCCTACAGTTTTAAACAGCTGTTAAAATAGTTGGGCTCCTGAACTCAGTGAAGGTAGCCATGAGAATGCTCACTGTACTAGTTTTCTATTGCTTCTATAACAAATTGTCCCAAATTTAACTCCTCGAAGCAGTGTACAAACCTAAGAAATTCTGACTAATCAAGAAGTCGGCAGGGCAGTTCTCTTCTGGAGGCCCTAGAGGAGATTCCAGTTTCTCGAGGTTGCCCACATTCTGTGGCTTGTTGCCCCTTCTTGTGCCTTCTGTACATAATCCCATCATCCCAGGAATCTCCCTGTCACTTAGAACTGTCACCTCTGCAGAGTATGTTCCAGTGCAGTGTGCTTCTAGTGCAGCGCTCTCAACCCTCCTAACGCTGTGACCCTTCAGCACAGTTCCTCATGGTGTGGTGACTCCGACCGTAAAGTTATTTCACTTCATAACTGTAACTTTGCTACTGTTATGAGTCATAATGTAAGTAAGATACCTGATATGTGACCCCCAAAGATGGCTCAACCACGGCTTGAGAACCATCATTCTAGAGCTTTGAATGTGAACATTCTGGGGGAGGGAGAGTTTTGGGAGCATCACTCCCCTGCTACATAGAGTGTGTGTTACTGCACTCGAACAGGCCCCTTGTTCTGTTTTTGTTTGAGTGGGGTGCTGGCTTTTTTGAGATAACTAGTCTCAATCTGGTAACCCTGCATCTGCCTCCTGAGTGCTGGAATTAGAGCTGTGCACCCATACACACACCCAGCTCCCCCTTGCTGTCTTTTCTTTTCATCTGTTTTCCTCCTTTTTTGTGTGTAGTGCTGAGCATTGAACAAGGGCCTCGTGCACACTAGGTGAATGCTCCATCCAGCACAGAGCTCTGTCTCTGAGCCCCCTCTTGTTTCCCTTAGCGGGAAGTTGCCCTCATAACTTATAGCACGGAACTCCTGGGTTTCTGTGGATGCTGTTTGTGATATGTGCACCAGAAAGAGTGTAAGAATGGTGTGGAGTGGCATCAAAATAAAAGCCAGCTATCTGGCTTGGCCCTGGCCCAGCTTGCTCTGCATACACTGGGTTCTCAGGAAGCCTGCTGGGCAAGAGCACAGCTGCTGTGATCATATGTGTTCAGGTGTGAGGCACCCACTTGTGTCCCTACCCAGGTTCTGCTGAAAGGAAGCTTGGCTTCTTTTAGGGCTGAGCCTTCAGTTGGAGGGCTCTGGGAATGTCTTCCTGCTTTGCTCAGCTCTGCTCTCCTCTGCTCTTCTCCCCTCCCCTCCCCCTTCCCCCCTCTCCCTTCCCCCCTTCCTCCCTTTCCTCTTCCCTTCCCCCTCTCCCCTCTCCTCTCTGAAGCAGGTGGTCCATAGACTTGGATACTTGCTATGGCCTGCAAATGTGAGTTGTTAAGAGCAGCTCACTCTGGTAATGATTGTGAGACTCTGGCAAGCAGGATTTACAGCCAATTCTTGTTTTTAGTCAGAGCAGGAAACAATTGAAGAAGATATGCCTGTTTCCTTTACATCTTTAATAATTTTGTTTAGAGACTTGGATGTGTAATGTTAGAAGCACAATAACACTTCATTTGCATCTTTGCTAGGGAGGAATAGCTGACACTTGTAACATTTGCCACCAGCCACACTGTACTTTAAAGTGCTTCCTGCATGTATGGCCTCACATAGCAGCAGATATTTGTTACCTGAATTTGTGAAAGAGCAGAGTGAGTCTGAACAACAAGCAGCTAGCTAAGCTTACAGCAAAGTGTGTCTGTCTGCTTGTTAAATCAACACACCACTACACTCTGCTCTTTACACGCTACTCATTCAGACAGAGTAGCAGAGAGAGGCTGTGATGTACCTGGAAATGCACTTTTGGTTTTGAACTAAACTATATACTGTTAGAAAGGTTTTTGTTGTTGTTGTTGTTGTTTTGTTTTTTATGAGACAGGGTTTCTCTGTAGCTTTGGAGGCTGTCCTGGAACTCACAGAGATCCGCCTGCCTCTGCCTCCCAAGTGTTGGGATTAAAGGCGTGCGCCACCAACGCCCAGCTCTCAGAGTCAAAATCTTACATGAGCAAGTAAGCATGAAAAATGGTGCGTTTAGTGACTTTAAAGATTCAACTTAGTTCTTAGGTCTCGTGCAGTGTTTGTGGGGAAGTGAGTTTTGTAGCAAGAGCAACATGTAGAAGACATCAATACAAAGCCTTGGTCAGAGGATGACCAGTCTCTAAGAGGGGACTGTGTTTGTTTTCGTGGGGGAATGGATTTTGTGTTGCATATGGACCAAAGATCTGGAAATACTTTTAGGCATCTAAAAAGATGTTAGAGGCAATTGGGTTAAAAGGAGGGAGCCCGGAGGAAATATGGCCATCAGAAAGGCACATTTGTGTGCTGCTTTCATCAGAGTGGGTGGTAACCATCCGTGGTTTCAACAACTGACTTCATGAGCCTTCATCCAACATGGTCATCATCTTCGAGATGCTTGTTGATAGGATAACCTCATTTGGGTTTTAGGGTGATAGCCATCCATGAAATGCTTATTGAGAGATATCCTCACTTTGAATATTTTCTTTCTTTCTAGGAGCTACTCGTCACTAATGAAAGTTGAGAACATGTCCTCAAATCAAGTATGTTCACGTTTCTTGCTCTAATATTGTACTTTGAAATACTTCACAGAGAGTCTTTAGTAATTGAACTACTGGCTGATGTAGCATTGCGGGTTGCTTACTATGATGGGCATGGAGTACACTGGGAGTAGATTCTGGCAGGCAGGCATTGCCTTCCTTCCCTGTGGTATTGTGTTTGCTTTTGTGTGGGTCACTTCATGGAAGGAGAGTTTGGTGCCTCCTTGCCTGCTGTGAAGGACAGGCCTATTAGTACTGCGTGGTGTGTCAGTCAGCTTTCTCTTATTCTAACACAATACCTGAGACAACCAGCTTATGAAGAATAAGGCTGTATTCTGACTCAGGATTTTGGAGGTTTGGGGTGGCCAATTGCCCTGCTGCTTTGGGTCCTATAGTAAAACAGGTGGGAAAACATGGGCCAGCAAGCTGTTCTCCTTATGGCAGCTGGGCAGCAAAGAGGGAAAGAGAAAGAAGAGAGTCCCAGCACCCTATGAAGGGCAAGGCTCAGTTACCTGGCTTCTTCACAGCAGGGAGCCCTTCTTAAGTGTCCTGCCTGAGTAAGAACAAGCTCAGCACTCAGCATTTGAGGCTTTGCAGACCCAGACTGTGGCACAGCACTGCAGTCCATTTCCTTTTTCCTTCCCAATTCCAGGCTTTGAAATGTATTTGCATTTAATAATTTCCTCTACTAATGTGGCTCTAGATTTCACAGCATGGTTAAACAGAAGCAGAATTGTCCTTTTCAGTTAAAATTAAATGCACCAAATACAGAGATCATACTAACCCTGATTTTTTTTTTATTCTTGTTAGAACCTGGAGTGTTGACATGTTTTGAGTTTTTGTGTTTTTTCTTTGAGATGGAGTTTTGCTTTGATGCTCAGGCTGTCACAAACCTCCCCCTCCTTAACCCAACCTGGTCTCAGACTCTTATTGCCTCTGCTTCCCAAGTGCTGGGATTACAAGAATGCGCCATTATATTTGGCTCAGACCCTTTTATAACATGGTTTTAAAATGCATGCTTTAGGTCTGCATTCAGATATGTTAGGGGCAAATTACAAATGCTGTTTAAATGAAAATTAAGTTAAAACTTGTCTTTAGTCATATTGGCTTTGTGTGACCCAGTGGCTACTATAGCAGCGTAGATGAAGAAGCTACCATTATTACAGAATATTTTGTTAAGTGTCTCAGTTTCTCTCTTAGGGTTATCTGTTCAAACTCCAATTTGTTACGTGCGTGAATTGGAAACAGTAGGATTTTAGACTTTGTTTATATCCAATACCTGTCCAAGAATGTTTAAGAGCACATTTTTACTCCCACATCTGTGAAGGACTAACTTTTTGAGTCTCCTTTATGAATCACGACCTGTCTTTATAAATTATTTCTGAAAATTTTCCTAATAGCAATGTGTAGTCCAACAGGACTGAGTTTGAAGTCAAGAGATTTAAACTGTTGCTAGGGTGAGACTATTGCATTTTTAGTCTTTCGAGGGGGAATGTTTCTCAGTTCAGAGACATTACCTCATGAGGTCTTTGTAACCTGTAAACAAGGGTGTGCCGTGAAGACCGCGCTAGACTCTGTCATAGCATAGGTAGTCGTAGCTGGTCCTTACTGAGCCCTGAGTTTGCTTAGCCCTCTGCATGTTATTCTTGGCTTTCTTAAAACTCAGAACAGTGTAACCTTAGCAGAAGTCTGTGATAGATTACAAGTCCAATTCAGTTAAAACTAATGCCCCTGCCTCTGCTCTTCTGACTAGTACTTATTCTAGCCTGTGTTTCAACCTTGTACATATCGTTCTTGTCACGGTGGATCTTAAAAGCTTGCATATTCTGGAGTTGGGAAAAAACACACACACACACACACACACACACACACACACACACACGGTAGATCTTAAAAGCTTACATATTCTGGAGTTGGAAACACACACACACATCATCATCATCATAAACAACAACAATTCTTGATATCTTTGAGGCATTGCCCTAAGAATGCTAAAATCTAAAATCTGTAGATGCTCAAAACCCTTATGAAATGGAAAAATATTTTATATTTTATCTCCCCATGTGCTTTATTATGTCTGTTGTTATTTATACTAAATGCAATGTAGATGCAAACAGTTGTCACAATGCATTGTTTAGAAAATAATGACCAAAAAAGGCCTATGCCCATGTTTGTAGCATTCCTGAGCACTTTCTGTCTGCATTTGATTGGATCTGCAAGCATAGACTCCCGCAGATGCGGAGGACCAGTGGTGTACATGTATGCAGATATAGTCACTAAGAGCCCCAAGACTACAGTGTTCAACTAGAGGCAAATGCTCACTCGTCCTCCTTCCCTTATACTCAGTTACTTACTACTGTGGGTGAGGTGCTCAAATGGGAAGGCTTCAGTGTCCTTGTAACATTTTCTGTTCTGTTACCATCTTATCTTTAATTTGTAATGTGATCCCTTGGTCTTTATTCAAAGGCTGATGCTTATGTGAGCTAGAGCTGTGCAAGCTCATCAGGAAGAATGCTGGTCTCTGTCTGAGCTATATTTGCATCTGAACTTTTAGTCTTCTATTTAGCATAAACTCTTTTATCTGTAATTTTTAGTCCTTTTTGGTTGGGCTTGGAGGCATAAATTGTTAATGTTACATTCCTCTTGAATATCAGTTTATCACTGGGTGACAAGAGGTGTATCTTTTAAGCTGAATAACATAGGAACTGAGAAATATGAAAGGTAATAGTTGACCAAGCAATGTCCTGCACTGGGACCATCCCTGTGGTCCCAGAACACCTGTCCTCAGGCAGCAGAAACTATGAATACATAGCCCTGGTAGGGACTGTGCACTTTCCTTGTTACCTGCCAGGTGGTCTTGCTGAGTTGTTTGTGCTCACTGGCTGGACAGACAGGCTGACATTCAAAGATGTACGCTGACTGTTCCCCACATCTCTGATGCTGCTCCTGAAGGTCCCCGGACAGAGCACAAACAGACCAGCCAAGTGTCTTGTGCCTCTGGCTCCTGTGCTAATAAAAAAGAAGCACAAGGCTCTGCAGTTAAGAGACTTTGCTGCTTCCAGCGGGTCTGGGTTCTGTTCCTGGCACCTATGAGGCGGCTCACAACCTCTTAAAACTCCAGTTCCAGGGGATCCAGTGCCCTCTTCTGACTTCCCAAGGGTTTCTGCAAGTGTGTGGTACACGAACACACACTCTACATTTCTTTTTTTTTTTTTTTCAATAAGGGGGGAAGAAGAACAGCACAGAAAGATGCTGACCAAAACCAGAAGAAAACAGATTTTATAAAAATCACTTTCTACCCTCACCTAGTATTTTCCTACCATTTCCAGCAAGGGTCCTTAAAAAAAAAAAAAGCCTAAGTTGTTCCCCTGTCTCTTACAGTATTGATGTTAAGCAATAAGAGATAGAAGTTGAAGCTAGTACAGTGGCCAGTGCTGACGCCAGCCATTATGCCAGAATAGAACCCTGCCAGTGCTTGCTGAAGAAAGGGAGCCGGAGCTGCTCCTGTGTGGCCTGCAGGACTTACCAACCATGCAGTGAGAGTGGCCCTTTACCCATGCACTGTCATTTGTAAGAGACCAAACCAGCTAGCTTGATTACTAGCTTTTGTTTGACTTAAGGACTTTACCTACTAAAAAGGAGGAAAAATAGTCAGCTATCATTGAAATCAGAAATCTATGAAAACCACAAGGTTCAAAATACTGGGGTTTAGGGCACAAATTTTTTGCATATGGCAGGGTTATTGGCATAAGGAATCAAGATACTGTTCCTGTAGTGTACTTGTTGAGGATTGGTCCTTTTCTAAAATTGTGTGTGTTTAAGGTACCTGGCATGACATGAACTGTGTTCAGAGAGTTAAGCCACTCCAGGGAAAGAGGTTCTATAGCCCTCATCTCATTAACTCACTTTTTAAAATTGAGAATTCATGCTAAATAAGTAACTATTTGCTACCCTTCTGCAAAGTCGTGTTTACTTGTAGTCATTCACTCGTAGTCACTCTCATCACATCTTCTGCAAGTTGGGGTGGGGCTTTCCATTGTAACTTGGAAGTTGTGATAACTGACACTTTGGAGGCTGTGGCTACTCTCTGGGTCATTCCAAGAGCTGATGACAATGGGGCAGTGGTGAGTTTGATCCTTTTCCTGATAACTTCCTGAACCCTAAGATGAGAAATCAGAAGAGGGGTGGTGGGTTAGCATGATAATAAATGTAAACTACAGACTGGCTGTCCTCAAGGCCCTCATATTTTCACTTTTTTGTCCACTGCAGGATGGTTACGATTCTGATGAGTTCATGTGAGCTGAGCAAAGGACCCTGGGAAGACATGAATGTTCAGGCTATTACAGATCTTTTGATTTCACCTATGTTCTGAATTACAGAAACCAACCAACCAAAACTCTACGTTCATTCTACGTAGACATCATTCATTTTGGAGCTTTTTTTTAAAAGTCATTCTTTTTACCCATGAAAAGAACAGATGTGTAATATAGTTGAACCTGAAGACAACTTATAACTCTAGGAAAAGAAAAATATTTTTGACAGAACATTTGTCAGTACCTCATAAAGGCTGGCTGCCTTTCTTCTTGAGATAGGTATTTCAGCAGACCTACTCTGGAAGGTGCTTCTGTGGCTGTGGTCTATCCTGGAAACAGACATCACGAAATGCTTTTCTTTTTTCTAAAATATCTCTGCTTCTGTTAAGACTGTCAGTGAGTTACTAGGCCAGCACCCCTGATGACAATTTCCTGGTTAGGAGAAGGGTATGTGAGTTTTGAAGACAGTGGTAGTACTTAAGGCTTTGATTTCAGTATCAACACGTTCTCTCTTGTTGGTACCAGAGTAGCCGGCCCATTTCTTACCATACTCCAAGGATCTGAAGGCCCCCATCTTAGCATCACAGTTACGCAGTTGATCTTAACCAAGTTTAGGAACTTGTTACCTGAACCACAAGTGACCTAAGCCACAGATATGACAACTAGGCTCTGAAGTCATTTCTCTGTGTGGAGGGAGACACGAAGGGGTGCTCTTCTGGTAGTGTGAGTGACAGTTGGCCTCATTTTTGTCTTGACTATATCATGAAACAAAAGTCCACAGTGGATTGTGAGTTTTAGAAAGAATCAAGCATTTTCCTAGTCAGCAAATCATCTATTTCCTTACTTTGAAATATTTATTTTGAATTGTGACCCCAGAGTTGTAGGCTCAATGACTTCACATGGAGCACTGGTAGTGGCCTGAGCCACCTGCTCTCGGTAGATACATTTTTAGTACAGTGTTTAAGGGAACCCTGAAGAGACGCAGCAAACAGTGAGAGAGGAGAAAGCAAAGCCTGTGGGGAAGTGGCATGCCGATCTGTATTTTAGCATACCACACAGTGCCCACAGCGGTGGGTGCTAAGCCAGCAGAAATGATTTCTTCAGCAAATGTACCAGCTGTCATCACTGAAGTATGGGCAAAACCAGAAGGCTGGTGACCCTTAGAACTCCAAGATGAGTATGAGCTGACCTGGAAAATTCCCTGAACATTAACTCATTAGCCACATTGGAGAGGATATGGAAGTCCGCACCAGAGGGGGTATGTGTGTTTGTGTGTGTGTGTGTGTGTGTGTGAGACATTTAGACTGGAGTTCTGTGATGTAAAAAAATTATAATAAAGTATCATTTTTATCAGAAAGGATATGGATTCTTATAACTTGTTTTCTATAAAGAGCAGTTCCCACCTCCAAGCTTGTTTGAGGCTAATTGTGCTGTAATACAGAAACTCAGTTATCATAGGTTCCTTCTGTGGTGAACTCAAGGTCTTGTGCATTTGTGGTAGGTACTGGAGCACAGCCCCCACCCCCTCGGGTTCTGTTGTGGGGCCTGCAAGTGTGACCTACTTTTCCCAGAACTGAGCATGAACCCGTGGCAGGGCTGCCCAGTCCTGCAGCCCTCCTGCCAAATCCCTGTAGGCATTCCTTTAATACCTCACTCAGCTCCTTTAGTTCTTGGCTATCGACGCTGCAGTGGGAGGCTTTGCTACCAGCATTGCGTGTGTCCCCTCAGCCTCTGCGTGTAAAGCCTTGAACACTCATAGGGAGATTTGAAGATCTCTTCAATGTCAGGTGCTGGGGCCTAGATTCTAAGTAGTTCAAAAGTCCACTTACACAGGTTCAACACATCTGGGCCTTTCCTGAGTTCTTAGAGTTGAATGCCTAGCTTTCACCCTTATAACTCTTCTGTGCCACGTGTCCCCCGTCTCTTTACCCCCAGTTTATGCTTTTCCAGTTCATTTGGTCTCAGGGAAAAGCAGAGAACTATTCATTTTGTTTTTGTTTTTGTTTTTCAAGACAGGGTTTCTCTGTAGCTTTGGAGGCTGTCCTGGAACTCACTCTGTAGACCAGGTTGGCCTTGAACTCACAGAGATCCACCTGCCTCTGCCTCCCAAATGCTGGCATTAAAGGTGTGAACCACCACCACCCGGCTCAGAGAGCTATTCTTCTAAGAACATAGTTCACAAGTCAGACTCCCATCCGAGCCGTCTTTCTTGCTGCTGGCATGTCCTAAGTGTTCAATGGAGGAGTTCCAGGCAGTTGTATGCTTATGAGCTGCACCTATGATCAGATCTGCCTATGATCGGATCTGTGTGTATACATGTGTGTGTATATACACCTGTATGCCTGTGTGTATGTACATGTGTCTGTGCATGTGTGTACATATATGTGTGTGAGTTCTCATGTGTGTGTCTGTGTGTTCACACGTGCCTGAGTGTGTATATCTGTGTGTATCTGTGTGTCTGAGTTCCCTGTCATCTCTTTCCAGTTTCCTGGCTCTGTTCTCTGTGCAGAGGAGGCCCGCCTAATCACTAATTAACTTCACAAATTTCTGTTGTCTAGTTTGAGTAGTTGAAGGTTTCTCGATTCTAACCTTTTGCTGTGAGGTCAGAATGCCTAGGAAGGCAGGTTTGACACAGTGCTTATGTTAGAACAGATGTGGGCAAGTTGACCAAATTGGCAAAGCTTTGACATCAGAGTAGGTGCAGGCTTTAGTTGAACCTGGCCAGGATCTTTTTTTGTGTTCTATTGTTTAAACTCTTTCTGGAAGCATATATACTAGAGAGCCTTTTAATTTTTCCTTGTCAGTGATCCTGTTTCCTCACCCCCAGAAAAAAAATACTGTAAACTACACAGAGAGCAAGACTATACTCCAGCCTCCAGCTTAACAGGAAGCTGTGCCACCCACGTGTGTAAGTGTGCTCTTGTTTTTCTGAGCTGGCACTGTTTATGGGGAAAACAGCTGGGTGGCAAAATGGAGACGTAGAACAACCTTCCAGCAGCCTCTCCTTGGGCATGTTACTGAAGTCTGCTTTTTCTTTGAAGTGCAGCGTGTGGATAACATCCCCAAATTGGAAATGGTCAGATTAATGGGATGGGTGACCTTTCAGTTTAAAATAGAGCATAAAGTAGCATGCTATAATCAAAAGTATAAAGTTAGAAGCTTAAATCAGTCTCTACCCACCTCACTTCAGGTTTTGCCCAAGCCAGTTTTCTAAAGCCGTGCTTAGTGGGCACTCTTCTCTGTGAGGCATGCAGGAGCCCAGCATGGGCAAGGTTCCACGTGCATCCTGTTTTAGTCATGAGACAGTCAGCCATGGACAGACTATTTTGGAGGAGTGGCCTGTAAAACAAGAAAACTTGGTTTAAGCAGAGTCATGTGTGCTTGTAGGATTTTTCCATGTTTGTCCTCTGGGGCTCAGCCTCTATAATGGGACATGCGTAATGACTTAGGAGTCAGGAGGGGGTTCTTTTTTTTTTTATTTTCCAGTTTAAATTTAGGTAAGAAACAAGGTTGCTTCACAAGTCAGTTCCAGGTCCCTCTCCCTTTCCCTCCCCTCCTCCCGTGCCCTCCCCCCAACCCCCCCAATATCCCCTCATTTCCCCAGGGAGGGTGAGGCCCTCCATGGGGGTGCCCATAGTCTGTCATTTCATATAGGGCAGGGCCTAGACCCTTCCCCAAGAGTTCAGGGTGAGAGTGCACCTCACATTGTTCTATGGGAGTCCAAAGTCCGTGTGTATACTTGGGATGGGTACTGATCTGCTGCCCAAGGCTCAATAGATTACCTAGGCCTCCTCACTGACACCCAAATTCAGGGGGTCTTGATCAGTCCCATGCTGGATTCCCAGGCTGATGCCTGGGATTCAAGAGTTAACCTTTGTCTGGTCAGCTGTTTCTGGGGGTTAAACCAGCCCAGTCTTAATCCCTTTGATCATCAGTCCTCCCTCTCTGTTACTGGCTTTCTTGAGTTCAGCTCAGTACTTAACCAAGGGAGTCTGCCTCTTCTTCGATCAGCCGCTAAATGAAGTTTCTGTTTCCCAGACTCTCTGGCCATAGGATTGTAGTCTGGCACTCCCCAGATCTATGTCTAAAATCCATATATGAGAGAATACATGCCATGTTTCTCTTTTTGTGACTGGGTTACCTCACTCAAGATGGTTTCTTCTAGTGTCATCCATTTGCCTGAGAATCTCATGATTCCATTACTTTTTTCTGCTGAATAGTACTCCATTGTGTAGATGTACCACATTTTCTCTATCCACTCTTCGGTTGAGGGACATCTAGGTTGCTTCCAAGTTCTGGCTATTACAAATAAAGCTGCTATGAACATAGTGGAACAGACATCTTTGTTGTATGAATGGGCATCTTTTGTATATATGCCTAAGAGTGGAGTTGCTGGGTCTTGTGGTAGGTTTATTCCCATTTTTCTGAGGAATCTCCATACTGATTTCCAAAGTGGCTGAACCAGTTGGCACTCCCACCAGCAATGGAGGAGTGTCCCTCTTTCACCACATCCAGGAGTGGGTTCTTATATGACATATGACAAGTTAGTTCTGAACCTTTTAGTCACTTCTGGGCCTGAGTGGGGGAAATGGTCAAATCAAGGGAGACTGAGTCCCAGAACTAGAAAACTAGAAGCCCATGATATTTAAGCACTAACATGCAGTTTGACTCCCTGTTTACCCCAGATTCTTATTGATCTGCCTGGAGCTGAGTTAGTAATGTTAATCGGTTATATTATGTGGCTATAATATAACTTGAAGTTGGGTAATTTATATGCAAAAGATTTACTTGGTTTGTGATTCTGGTGGCTGGTTCGTTCAGATGCCATGGTTCTAACATCCTAGTGAGAGCCCTGTTGCCTGTCACCACACAGAGAAAAGGAAAGGACCAGGCATGGGGTGGTGGGCCAGGCTTTATGACTTCCCGTGAGATCCATTTGTCCCTTCTGATGGTGGAGCACTTCGTAGCAATGCAGCTCTATACTTCATGGATCAAGGTTCCTACCACACAAAACACAAATGGGGCCTTGCCATTGGCTTGCCCGGACTGGTACTGACTCAGCACTTGCTACATTTGTGAGCGGCCATTGTCTGGCAGCCATAGGAGATAATTGCTCATTCTGGAAGGCCATGTAGCGCTCTCTGGTTCTCAGACCTGATGATTAGGTGTTAATATTTAGGGCTAGAAAACGGAAGAATTCTGCAAGGCAGTATTGTGCTCCCTTCATCATACTTACTCGTCCTGCAACCCCTGGAGTAAAGGCACTTGCCACACATGCCTGATGACATGAGTTTATATCCAGAACAATATAAAACAATAGGGGGGAAAAGCCAAAGCTGGATGATGCTCCTACAGTGAGACAAGGGGTGGAGGCAGGAAACTCATAGTCAGCTAGCTTGAAGTACCGCAAGACATTAGGAACAGCAAGAAGAGATCCTGCCTCCAAGCAAGGTGGAAGATGACTCAGTCCCCAACAGCTGTCTTCTGACTGCCACCCATGCATTCCCGCACCTGAGCTCAGAAAAGACCCATAGAGAATGAGGAAGCCATCTCTGTTCTCTGCTGGAGGGCGAAGGGGCAGAGTGAACAAGTGTAGGTGGTACCAGGACTAGCCTCGGGCAACTCCAGACTAGTACCTAATTGCCTTTGATTCTCTCCCCACCCTTAGCTAGCTCCCTTAGCCCGATGGGCCCTGTTATCTCACCCAATCAGAGGAAACCAGTGGGAGAGGCGCTAGGGAAAAGAGCCATGCAGTATTTTGCACACCTGGACTTTAGGATTCAGCCCTTTATTCTGTGTGACATTGTGAGTGGCATGTCTCTTGTGGGCCATGATTTGTCCACTGGAAAGAGGAGTAAGACCGAAGCAAAGACTATAAATTCTAGTGCCACCGCCCACATAGGGCAGGTGATATACAACAGGAAGGCAGACAAGGTGGCTCAGCAGTCTAAAGGCCACTCTGAAGGTGTAACGTGTCAGTTCTGGCATATGCTGTCACAGGGAAGCTAAGCTTACAGAGCAAGTCAGTGAGCTGCATCGAAGGAGCTGAACTTCATAGGACAAAGGCTTTCCTCCTGGTCACTTCAGCAGGGTTTCTCTACTCCACGCTTTAATGACATCTTTAGGACAGACCAAATTCCTCAGTGTTCCGATCACATGCCACCTAAGGACAGCTTTGTTTTAAAATAGGACTCTTCATCTCTGTTTTAATCAAAACTGCCCTATGAAACAGTCTTCTATCTACTTAGGGCCTTTGAGCTCCCACCATGTCCCTGTTCAGGTCTGAACCTTTACTCTCTAACAGCCAGCTCTAAGAGGGTCAGCTACTGAATAGTTCAGGATGGGGTAGAGGGCGGGCGT